GAGGACTATAGCAGGAAAATGTCAACATCGAAAGACGGTGAAATTCAGAGAATGAAAGTGCACTTGAGTGTCTAAAGGAAAATAAGAAATAAGAATAAATCAGGCCAAACATTAAAAAAAAAAAAAGTTAAGGCTGTTTGGTTGGCTAACATCTCAACTTATGACCAGTTTTCATCCAAATCAACATCAACTAGCAAAATTTAAAGATTTAAACAGGTGCAGATAAAAGAAGAGCGGCATAAAAAAGTTTTAGGCGTTCAATCTCAAATAACCTAATCTACACATCAGAGACAAGCAACAATTTGCGAAGAAAAAAAAAAATATAGAGTTCACCTTCCTAAAAGCTCTTCAATGGAGGCCGGGAGAGAATCGAGCCTGGAGGTTTAGGCGAGTGGGGATAAGAGAAAGCGGAGAGTGTAGCTCGGTTAGCAGCGTCGGGCCGCCGAGGAGGAGCGAGCGAGCGGAGGAATGGGATCGAGGGAGCGCGACCTTTGGTTCCGGGAGGGACGGCGGCTTCGGTTCACAGGGACGAGTCGCACGAACGTTTCTGTTTGCGGGAGAGGAGCCGGTGGCGCAGGATCGAAAGACGCAGGCGAGCTTCCTGCTCGCAGCGGAGGCGAGGATGAGGCGCGACAGGAACGGGAGAGCTGAGCGGAAGCGAGCGGGAGAGAGGAGCTCGGGAGAGGCAGAGGAGGATGACGAGCGGGATAGGAGGTCTTCGGTCGAATGAGAGCAGGAAGGCGAGGGTTTCTGTCGAGCGGAATCGAGCAGAGGAGAGGGATTGCGCTGTGAGCAGGTGAGGCGAGCGGGAGAGCCGAATCAATTCCGCCGAAGGCGAAGTCCGAGCTGGATCTTTATCCATCGAATTCCAAATAGCCGTTAAGCATGCGTTGGGCGGGGAATTAAATTGTTTACATGCAGGGAGGTTTAATTGGAAAGAACACCTGAATATTTTTAATTAATACAAAATTTAAATAATTTTTTTGAATTTTGAAATTTGAATTTTAAATTCAGATGAGCTGGTGCTTAGCCCTTGTTCAGTCCGAATCCAACCTGAATCGAACCCGAGTCGAACCTAGGTTGAGCCCGGGCCCGCGCATTATTAAAAAAAATGTGCATTAATATCCGTACTAGTTGCTCGCCCGCGAAACTATAACCATATTGGTGTCCTTCCTAGCTAAAGTCAACGTTTCAGGCGCATCCGTGTGGTCCGTTTCGTCATCCCGGACGAGTTCGCTGACGGACGAGTCAATTTACGCCAAAATCATGCGGGGTGCGATGCGTGCGCAAAATGTGCTGTTATCGAGCATTCGAGTCGTAAGAGGTATCCTAGGGCTGCTCCTATAAATGTAGGAACTCAACTCGAGTCTCATGTGTCGGTTCTCATCAACTCAACGAAATGCCGAGGCCGAGGATTCGGGACCGCCGACTCGAATGAGTGACGAGATGACTCAAATTTTCTAAAGGGTGTGGGTCCGGTACTAGTCCTCTAGGAGGGTCAAACAAGAGAAACCTAAAACTAGACCCTAGGCTCTAAGGAGAGAAATGAAGACATCCGAAAACGAGGTCAACAGGTGGATTTATCGAATTTCGAAAGTCGCATAAATCCAGATGAGTTTATCTAGTGACTTCAAATAGCGAAGCAAATTTTTGAGCACATGGATGTTTCTCAAAGTAAGAGAGTTAAATCGACAGCTATCAAGCTTAGGAAAAATGCTTTATTATGGTGGGAGAATCTGATGCTTCTTCGATAGTGGGAAGGATTGATAAAATTACTATATGGTCCAAGATAAAATGAGAGCTGCAACACAAATAAATTCCTCACATTACTGATATGATATATTTATAAGATTCTAGCATCTAACATAGAGAGATTCTTTTGTTGAGAAGTACACAACTAATAGTATGTTTGGGGCAACTGCAGCTTATTGAATAATCTGCTGATAAACTAGGTGCTGTAACTATTACAAATTTTTATTTTTTTTGGAAAAGTCAGACTGCAGCCAGAAAGCTGCCACCGCACCTAGACATGTGTGATGTGAAAGCGCTGTTTTCAGCGTTTTGAAAATGCATAAGCTACCAAAACACAGTTTACCCAAACAGGCCAGGTACGTTTTCAAAACGCCACCGCACCAAATAAGCTGCCCCAAACGAATAGTAAGTTCGAGCAAATTATGTTCAAGTGTGGGCTAGTGGACCCGGTGAGAACACCATAGTTGAGTATCTAAGGGAATTGAGATCGTCCATTAACAATGTGGTACAGCTGCAACATTATCGGACACTAAATGATGTCCAAAGTCTAGCCCTAAAAGTGCAGAGATAACACAACAATATCAGTTTCACACTACCCTCCAAACAGAATTTAGACATCAGTTTAGCCAGCAAGAGTACACCCAATGAAGCACCCAAGCCGGAACAACTGGAGGAGTTCTTAAGGAGTGGAGAAAAGGTGGAGCCCATCAGTACTCCCAAATATATTACTGTAAATGCTTAACATGTCATGTTTTGGCCACTTGACGTTTGATTGCTTAAATAGGTAGGTGATTTCTTTCACTGGGTAGGGAGCAATTGAAGAAGTGAACAGTGACATCACAGAGGGTGAAGATCTAGAGGAAAATGGAGATGAGTGCCAGATTGCAGTTGATGAGGGAGAGGTGCTAGTGATTCTAGCTGAGCCTAACAACTATATCACAATAGGATTAACATTGATTTTCCTAGAAGAGAGTAAGCCCAAGGAATCAATACTAGAAGAGGAGCGGCCCTTGTTGAAGGAATTGCGAAATATCTTGACCAATAGCTTATTCCTTTGGTCGTTACCCTTGAGTGTGGTTCAACCTGCTATAGATTTCGTTTCAAATTCAATTCCTCAGACATACTTGTTTATCAGGTGTGTCTAGCCAAGTATATGAAATGAGAGAAACAAGTTATAGATTTAATGACTCGAGACTTGATTCATGAGAATCCTCGTCTATATGTAATTCCAGTTCATATTGTGTTAAAGAATGATTGTTATTTATTGTATTAGTATAGACTTTGAAAGGACGCATGTGTTTTAGAGTTCTTTGAAATGGACGTGAATGTCAAGACCCAGCCTGATAACATAAAACTAATCAAGTCAGAAACTGCAGTTGGATGATATTAACATTTAATTTACTTTCCATAGATTTTCAAAAACTTCCAATATATATATAAAATAGTCACTAAGAAACCATAAAGTATAATATAAAAAAATCATAACGCCCATCAGTACTCCCAAATCCATTATTGTAAATGCTTAAAATGGCATGTTTGGCCACATGTCGCCTGATTGCTTAAATATGTGGGTGAATTCTTTCACTGAGTAGGGAGCAGTTGAAGAAGTGGACAATGACATCGCAGATGGTGAAGATCCAAAGGAAAATGTAGAGGAATGCCGGCTTACAGTTGATGATGGAGAGATGCTAGGGATTCCAGTTGAGCCCAACAACTATATCACAATAGGATTAACATTGATTTTCCTAGAAGAGAGGTAGCCCAAGGAATCAATACCAGAAGAGGAGCAACCCTTGTTGAAGGAATTGCTGAATACCTTGACCAATAGTTTATCCCTTTGGTCGTTACCCTTCAATGTAGTTCGACCTGCTATAGATTTTATTTTAGAGTCGATTCTTCCAGACGTACTTGTTTATCAGCTGTGTCTAGCCAAGTATATGAAGTGGGAGAAGCGGGTTGTAGATTTAATGAATCGAGACTTGACTCATGAGAATACTCGTTTATATGTAATTCCAATTCATATTGTGTTAAGGAATGATTGTTATTTATTTTATTAGTACAAACTTTGAAAGGAGGTATATGCTAGAGTTTCATGAAATGGACGTAAATGTCACTGCTCAAACTGATAACTTAGAATTAATTAAGTCAGAAATTGCGATTGGATGATATTATTATTTAATTTACTTTCCATAGATTTTTAAAAACTTCCTATATATATATATATATATATATAAAAGTCACTAAGAAACCACAAAGTATACCATACAAAAATCACAACGCTTAGAAATAACTATAAAGTCCAATTTAATGCAACTCACACAAGAAAGATTTCTTCTTTTCAAGTTTTCTTAGAGCGATTCTTGAGGCATTTCTTGTTGTTCTGATTTGGGTCTGATAGAGTTGGTTCTTCCGGCTCCACGGTGTCTGCCTTCGCGTTCTCTATGGTGAAGTTTTGTTGTATTTGGGGTTTTCTGCGGTGATTTCGTGGTGTTCCGTGGTTTGGACTGCATTTCTGCCAGGTGTATTAGCGTTGGATTTTAGTGGTATTCTGGTTGTTTCATCGCGCCCGCGTTTCTATTAGTGGTTTGGAGATTGATTTTTGGTATTATTGTGGTTGTTTCGTGTTCTCCGCGCTCTCTTCGGTGTTTTCAGCGGTGGTTTGGAGTTGTATTACTGACCAGCGCCTTGTGTCTAGGGTTCCACGGTCTATTGGAACTTGAGGTTTTCTTCTTCTTTCTTTTATGATTTCCTGATGGTTCTTGTTCTTTTCTTTTGTGCGGATTTTCTTCTGTCTGAATTCCTTCTAATGGCTTCCTCCTCTCGAGAAGTCGCTCCTTCAAGGATATTGATGCTGGTAAATCTCTAATGAGTTGATAAATGTTCTTTTCTCGTCGCCTTTTAAAGATCAACTTGCTAAAAGTACTTCGTATAGTTTGCTCAAAAAAGCGTCAAGGAAGAATGGTAAGCCAGTGCTTCTGTTACATGGTAAGCCGACACAAAAGAAGTGAAGAATATTAATCTTCTCTATCTTCTTCCACAAAATCCAAGAATTTATCATTTTTTTTTCACACTTCCTAGTTAAATAAAATTCAGTAACATTAATTTAAAGAATTATACCCTAATGGCGAACCAATCTCCAACACCAACAAAACACTTAGCTCCTTTTCTCTAGATCGCACTTATATATTTTTATGATTGAATTATAACCATGCAATCTAATTTTCTGTTTGGCATATAATATTGAATAGGATGTGCCGCTTACGGAACCCGCTTCACCTGCTGTACCAAACTTAATGACGGATAATTTGGCTGCATTGTCCATCGAGGCAAACCAAATTCTACATTGGAGGATAGGTGGTGTTGTAGCTTTGGGAAGGCGCCAGTTGAAGGTATGTAGTAGGTTTTTTTTATTCTATGAATCAGGTTTTATAAGTATATTTGGATGAATGAATAAGGCCTATTTTTTGGAGAGAATTGGTTTATTATTATCCAATATTCCAGGTGATTGTAAAAAGTGTTTTCATGTCCTCTATTTCTTATGATGACTCCCTTCTAATAACAATTATTTGAATCCTATTCAAGCTCAAAGAATTTTCATGTTATTATTTTAAATAAAAGAATTTGAGCTACGGTTTGTATAACAAGCGTTTGGAAGGAAGATGTGCCCTTTAATGGAGAAAAATAGATTTCCTTGAATCTATTATCTGTTAATTCAACTAAAATTCAGTATATTTGTACGATAAATATTAAATTTAAATTTTTACAATATAAAAATGCCTATTTTTACATTGAATACCATGGGAAAGAAAAATTTAGACTTTTCTTGTGAGTAAAAGCAAACAACTTTAAAAAAAAAAAATTAGGGAAGCGGGAAGAGTGTTTAAACAACCATTTGTATTAACCGCTTATCTCAAAAAACTGAACCAGTAAGTGGGGCAAAACACACAACATATTAATTGATATGTTTTGGGACATGCCTGCTGAATTTGAAGGTGACTGTACCCATGTAGCCTTACTCATAACATGATTTTCACTTTTTCCAACAATCATTGGTACCCCTCAACCTTGCCCAATTAGTTTGAACAAAATGGCTGAACAACTCTCCCAAATGATTGAGCTAAGTGGAGGATATGATCGTAACAGCCCACCTTACATGTTCCACACTTCAGGGATGTTAGGAGGTCATTATTATTCGAGGTCGCAATATGAGTCATCATTCTTCTTCCACACATATTTAGTGCTCTTGATTGGGAGGGTTTAAGAAGCTACTAAGGTAGCTGGTGGATTTGTTATGGTTGATGGAAGGCTAGGAAGGTGATGACTAGTTTAGCTGGCACCGATCTAATGTTCCTAGCGGTGTGGAAATATAAGAGGGCTGGGTTAGGAGAATAGTTGGACAGAGCGGAGAAGGGAGGAGTGATGGAAGGAGGTTTGTCTTGATTAGACTTATATCTACATTTGGCTCAGCATCATTTTACGGCAAAATTTGTAATGCCATATATATATTAATCACATGTGATTTTCTATTTTGCTTTCCTAATATCTTGTAGCGATCTGGCTGAATTTGTTGACTTTTGATAGTAGCTATCTTGGTTAAATTGAAATCTAAATTGTTGAAATCTTAAGACTTCTATAAACCAAAGTTGTTATGATTTTGATACGATTTGGAACCAAAAACAATGAACAAACAACGGATAGATTGCACGAAAGAGGTAGAGAAACTCAAATGAGGGCTGCTTTTACCAAAACCAATGAAAATAAACAAGATAAAATGATCATATGCTATTCAAGAGGTAGATCGTCTCTCCCCAAATTCTAGGCGTCGCTAGCAACACCACTAGAAAGGCAAAAACAACTGCAACAAGGCAAAACATAAAAACAAACCCTAGCCCTTAGCCCTCCTAAATACTCTCCAAAGTCCCTTTCAAAATTTCCCCCCAAAATTCCCCTTATTATCTTCCTTCTACATGTGATTAGCACTTAGTGGGCCCCACCAGGGCGCTGGAATTGCTCAGAATTTTCTGGAGAACCCGTCTGTCAGCGATAAAAAGTTGAGAAGTTGGGGGAGTTGCCTGTAGGAAGCTGTCGGTCGCCGGAATCAAAATCTCATTGCCCGCTTCGAAAGGACATTTAATTTACATATAGATTTAAGTTTAAAAATAAATATGAAAATTAAACTGACCCCATATTTTTCATAGTTTAAATGACAGAGCGCTTCACCTCAAATCCTGTATCTATCCCGAGGGATAAACACAAGACTTGAGGATGAGACTCAATTAAATAAACTAAGAAATACACGACGTCCGTTTGGCCTGCGAAACCGTTTTATTTACTGACAAATTTTCTATTTAATATGAAAAATTAAATAGGGTTTATTTTAAGCTGGGTTCGGAAAAGCTTCTTATAAGTGCAAGCCCCTATAGTTAATTACATATTAAATGACCGAATTCACTTAAGAATACTCTCGATAAAAATCAGGAAAAATTATCTTCAAGGACTTCAAAAGGATGAGATTTTTCAACGAAATCGGACAAAGAGGTGTGCAAAGGGGAATGGTTCAAACTTGGAACATTTATTGTAGAATCCAAAGGAGGAAGAACTAGGGGATGTCACAGATGCAGAGGAGATCCTCGGTGACTTCCCAGTCTACCCTATGGTTTGACTTCAGTTTCGAGGAGAAATTATTCAAGTGTTTTATCCTGCCAATTTTATTTATTTAGGACTTACATTCGCGTGAAACGATCACACAAAATAGCCTGGAAGATGTGAGGATTTAGGTAGTGATGAACGACAACCTCAAAATCCTAAAACGAGTTAGGGCTTAGATCGTACAACAGAACTATACAAATGCCTAAAGAAAAGTTTTGAGGATTTATATTGCGCTAGGCGAACAACCTCGAAATCTTATGGATTGTTGTTTTAATTTTTAGGAAAGAAATGATTTAGCTGGGGAATACATGTTCTGCTGCTGAAGATGGTCGTGCTGTTCACCGCGCTAGTTCCAAGCTCCTTGTCTTGACGAGTTTAAGTTTTCTAGGGTGTTAGGTTATAATATCAAATCTAACGGCCCTATGGTTATAGTTCTTCAAATATTTCATAGATAACATGTTGAAGTACAACATGTTGTACAGTGTATAGCAAATAGAATATGTAGCACAGGACAAACAGTAGAGTATGCAGTAAAGAAAGCAATACAACATGCAGTGTAGAGAAAATTAAAAGGTACAACAGGGAAGTGATTATAAAAGAATAAAATGCTGTAAACATAAAACAAACTTGTATACCTGGGAGATCCGTTGTTCCTTAGGTGTAATTGATGCAGCAAGTACAAACAACAAAATTTGAGGAAGCAGGCTGAAATACTTTATATAAACGAAGTAAAGAAACGCCACCCTGAAAACACGAGAAAGTGCGGTAAATGACCCGTACGAGAAAATCAACAAAGCGACAAATCGATGAAAATCGTAGAAAACACGGGAAAATCCCGAAAAAAGACGAGTGCTTTGTCCAAAAATTCCAAAAGTCCAAAAAGAGGGGGACCGCAAGCACTCGGTTCGGGGCTAGACTCAACTATATGTTAGTGCTCGAGGGTCGTCGAAGGCTACTCGGTCACTCAGATGTATAAAGCCCGCCACTCAATTAGAAGGATATCCTATCGAACCTAACTCAGGAGGATATTTCTTAGCCTAAACAGGTGATCAACAGGTGGACAACCAATATTTAAAATGTATTTAAAATTCATATTTTCAGCATGCACATATGTTTCAAACATGCAAAAAAGTGGACTGTATCAATTTTGTTTGTAGCAAAAAATGTATTTTTGTTTTAGAAAAAGGTGTATTTGTTCTTATCAAATTTGTTTTTATCAATTTTAAAAGTAGTTGTCCACGAGTCGATTGCCCTGTCGGGCATAAGACTACCAAAAACCTAAGAAAATTCGGGTCAAGTCCCGCTAGTTTTGTGTCGGTGAATGATACTATCATCCTACAGTTGACCGAGTTCCTGAATCGGATCCTGATGGGTTCCTGAATCGGATCCCGATGTCGTAGGATGACATATCATTCAGCTCTATCTCCGGTGTGCCTTTGTCGTCACCGCCCTAAGCCCCAAAACAAAACCGACCTACTTGCTTGCTTGATGGTTTCACGTATAGTAAAAAGCTATACGTGGACACTTTTATATTGGACATAAGCATAAAAAATCGAACCAAGAAGCAAGAAAAAAAAGAACAAAAATGGGGTGAGAGAGAAGAGGGACAGATTCACCTAAAACATAAAAAATAACGAAGGATGAATCAGCTCTCAAAACTCGTGACGAAAAGACCTGAAAAGGAAAGCCCGAAAATCCTTGAACTAATCTGAAAGGATTACCAACAATCTCACGGGTAGGGGTAGGAACTAAAGCCAGCAAAACCACACTCAAACTACTTCTCGGGTAAGGGCAAAACAAGGCAACACCGAGCTCCCAACCAGAGTAAAACCGAACCACAACTAAGGCTCAAACCCAGGCCACAACAAAAGGGTAGAAAACATCTCTATGCCCTCAAGACATCAAAATGTAGGACTACCATATGTTTCAGACAAGAATGGCTATGGAACTCCTCCAAATCAAGATAAATTCCTCCACAATGTGTATATTTAAGCCAAAAACACTCATAAGATGCCAAAACAGAGCCCAGCAGGGGCCAAAGCCAAACCAAATGACCTACCAACAAGCTCACAGGTAGGACTAAGAACAAACCAAATCAAGCTCCCAAGCTACCTCTCGGGCAGGAGCAGAACCAGACAAAAACCAAGCTCCAAATCAAGCCAAAATAAATCCCTCGAGGTTAACAAGTAAAGCTCACATACCCAAGACAAGATCTCAATCCAGAACCCAGCCTCCAACCCTTTCAAGGTGAAAATTGAGCCCCTAAAGAGATCAAATCAAAGCTTTAAAGGCTAATCAAATGCAGTATATGATAACAAATCCAAACCCAACCATTTTTAGGCAAACCAAAAACCAGCAGGGGCAAAAAGGATAAAGCCACACCCCAAATCAAACGAAAATAAGCCTCATAATCAGGCAAGAGTCAAGAGCTAGAGCAGGTAAGACCGACCCCAATGGAGGCCAGAAACCAAGCCACTCAAGGCTAAAACAGGGCCCAAGCATAGATAAAAACTCAAGTTTTAACAGAAATTAAAGTTTCAACCATTTCAAGATAAACCGAGCCATTCAAAGCTAAGGAACAACTCACAAGCTTTTGAAATATCAAGATATAGAGCCAATATATGCCTTAAACAAGAACAGTAACATAGAGAATATATTTAGGCCCCCAACTTGACCAACATGTATTTAAACAAAAGGATGCCTCACGAGGAGCTAAACCAAGCCCTCAAAACAAGTTATAAAGCTTTCCAAATTAAATAAATTTTCTCATAGCATGCATTTCGAGTAAGGGAAAACCACAGAAAGCCAAAACCGAGCCCCCCAAAAATGCATGAAAGGCCAAATAAACTCTCCAATATCTCATGCTAAATAAGAATAGATGAAAAGCCTCATAATACATATCTCAACATGATTGCAAGAGGAGCCAACATCAGCTCAAAGCTACATTTTCAATTATTCCAACTTGCTTTTGAACAAAAACAAAAAAGAGGAGCTAGCATCGTCTTAAAGCCACGTTTCAACCTTCTTATTCACAGTAATAAAAATATGAAAATTTCAAGCAAGTAGAGAAAAGCAAAGTACTTATATCATGTTGTATTTCCACTATTTCAAGCAAGTAATCAAATCCAATCCCTAGAACATGCTCACACTTCCATCTCTAGACGCTGGAGTAACACGTCTTTCAAAAATATAAGTGCAATACTAAACTAACAAGCCACATTATTCATTGCACCAAGCTAACAGAAGCTCGACAGAGAGCAAAACCGAAAAGAGGTAAGGCGCAAAAAGGGGAAAAAGTACCTCCTCGAAGCAAAAAGAAAGTAACACAGGAACTTTAAAGACACTCCCCAACTTACACTCCCACTCCCCAACTTCACTTTCCCTTCCAACAACAAGAGGAAACCAGTTCAAGCACTAGAAAATCAAAGAAGTGAGTGAGAAAGAAAAATAGCAGGGTTTCCTCCCTTAGAAAAAATTTTCGGCTCCCTGAAACGCACTAACGAAAGCTTCATATAGACCAAAAAAACGGGGGAAGGAATGTTTAGGAGATCACATAAAGATCGAGAGAAACAGAGGATATGATCCTCGCAGAGGCTACGCTCTGCGGCAGGGAGGATGGAGAGCAGACGGGATAAGATATCCGCAGAGGATAGGATACGGGATGGGTGACTGCGAGAGGTGTCTCGCGTGCGAGAGGCGAACGCGAGAATGAAATCTCCCAACGACACGAAGGAGCGGGCCAGGCAATCGAACGAGCCACGCTAGGGCAGAGGTAGGCCCACGGGTGCGAGAGAAATAGAAAAAAGGGGGGGAGGAGATAGGTTTAGGTTATAAATAATAATAATAATAATATTATTATTATTTAGTATTATAAATATACCTAAATTACGCATTTCCCCCTAGACGCGTCGTCGGAATGAAACGAAAGTCTCCCCTAGGCAAAATCGATGTTCCGGACGCGTTGGCGCAGTCCGTTTCGTCATCCGGTGTCATTTAGACAACCTCGTCGACGATCGGGACAAAAATGCGTCGCGACCTGAATCACCTCAAAAATTCGGCTCGAGCTCAATCAAACAAAACGGTGAAGAGCACGACGGTGTCAAATCAACGCGTACTGTCAATCCTAAGGCCGACAGTGCTATAGGAATACTCTCTGAGTTCCTTCGGAGTAGCCTTACCTGCTAAACAATAGCGGTCAAGACTACTACATGGAACGTTAAGTCGAGCGAAGAAAAGTTCAGAATTGCTAACAGAGAGGGCTCCTTCACTAGTTTTCTAGGAGTAGTAGACAGAAAGGCCCTACGGCTAGATCCTAGGCTACTAAGGAGGGGAAAACCGCACCTCGATCGAAAGCGAGGTCAACACCGTCCCTCTAGGCTGTGCTGGCTGGCTTGGCGAGGCCGCTGATGGGTCTGCCTTGGTATGGCAGGTCCAGACTGGTTCTTCTGCGGGAGGGGAGTCACAGCTGTTCCTTCATTGGAGGGAGGTGCAGGAGGTGCAGGAGGTGCAGACGTATTAGATTTTTATGACATAAGATAACATCCAATGTATGAGTGAATCAAACTTCCCTTGAGAGTTGTAGTTACCATATTCCTCCATAACCCTAAACTTAGTATGATTCATCATTTATCCTTTAATGAGTTAGCCTTAGTGGCATTTTATGCACCAATTGTATGAACACAAATCGCTATTTTAACTTGAGCAGAGCCATTATTATCATAACAAAATAATTTAGGAAAATTTACATGCATGTCACATAATTCTTATGTGTTTGCATATTTAAAACCTAAAGTTTGGTATTTATATTTATAATTCTTCGGTGCTATAAAGATATGCATGAAAATGTGTATTTTACTTTTATAAATTTAATAATAGTGGTTTTTTGATGTGAAGTTGGGGTTGTGTGTTATTCATGCAAATGGGAAACTTTAGGTGTTAAATATGTACATATATAAGAATTGTGTGGTCTGTATGTAAATACCTCAATAATTTCTCTGCTTTTAAACTAATTCAACTGTGATTCTAATGGGTGGTGAGCAAAACTATTTTTAATCCTCCTTTTTATGCTGAACTGGTGGTTTGCACTTAATAGAGCAACTTCTTATGTTAAACTTGCAGGATATTCCTAATGATGTCTGGTATTGCGCATTGCATGTTAGAATATTGGATGTCAGCGACAATTACATTCAAGAATTGCCAGAGAAAATTGGTGATTTTAAGTCATTGATTGTATGTTTCTTATTATACATGTTTTAATTCGGTTTTAAGCTTGTTTTTTTTACTTGTTGAAAGTCGCTTTGAAGATGTGATTCACTATGGAGCATTAGCCTCACGGAATGTTAAATATGGAGTATTTTATGTCTAAATTGTGTAGAATCTGAACCTGAATGGAAATGATTTATCTGATGAGAAGATTAGCTGGGTTGGCCTTACACAGCTGAAGTTTTTAGGAGTACTATCTCTTAACAGTAACAAGTAAGTCAGTTTTCTGATATTTAAGTATCCTTCAAGACTTTAAATTTGATGGAAAGGCTTTAACTTAGTTTGCTCAAGAGCTTACAAGTAAATCAGTCAAAAGATTATGAAATGCAACTAGATTTGAAACTCTTTTGAGTTTTCAAGTCTTGATAACAATTTTTTTCTTAAGCTTGGCTTGTGCAGTTTATTTATAGTATTTGTATGCATTCTTAGTTTCTTACCTAATCCATTCAATGTATTCTCCATGCTTACTACCCGAGTTAATTTGTAGGACAAACTGTCACAAAACGTAAGAGCAATAATCTTTGTAAAGAAATGACTTGTATCAGTCCATTGCTTTTGGAAGGTGCGACTATCATGTGGAAGCGTGCCCCTAGTCTAAACTTACTTGCTCCATAATTTTTAAACCACACTTTTGTCTTCCTCTATTTGAATGTGTGAACTTCTCATTCTTTCTGTTTTTCTTCAAGGCTTTTTTCAGAAATCAAATTTTCAATTGAACCTTTGACTTCCAGAAAACAATGAAGACAATTTAATGCTCCCTTAGATTGAAATTATTTAACAACAAGAACAAGTCTTATGTCTTATTCAAATTTCTAGCATGCAGGCTAACTCCTTTCGAGCGTCAGCCAATGGAACGAATGGGCAAATCTTCCAGGACATTTGAAACTAACTTCTGGATTATATATCTCAAAGCTAGGAAGTTGAAATGTTCATTTTCCATATAACTCTGTTTGATTAGTGCTGCATTCTTTTTGTGCTTTGAGATTCATTTTTATTGGAGATTTACTTTTCCTGTTTTGTGCTATTTTTTTATTTTGTGCTTTGAATTTCATTTTGCCGCTTGTCCTTGTTGCATTCAGTTTTATTATTCTTTATGTTGGACTAAGACCATGCTTGTTTTCATAATTGATTGCTTGCTTGCATGATTTTTTTTTTCAGTTTTTCTTCATTTCTACTATCCTTCGGCTTTGTGTCTTCACACAAACATTTTTTTCAAATGAGATAAAATTCATAACAACAGATACTTGCATTGGTCCAACTCAAAATGTGCGCAAATGCCAAAATCTCCTAACCATCTCTTATTTTGTGAGGACTGTGCAGAGCCTCAAAATTACCTAGAAAGGATCCTTACAGTTGATTCAATTAAATATGACTAAAATAACAACCAATCGTCAACGTACCAAATAAAATTTGATTTGTGATATGTTGTACAAAATTAAAATTGTCAAATACTGAACTATTTGTAAAACGAGCACGTTGATGCTTCTAAACTGTAAAAAATATCCAAAAATAAAACTTTATATCACCAAATTACTCTATAATGAAAACTATGGACAACTGATACAATATCACACAAATCAGGCTTGAAATGCCTTGGCCACAAGGAGAAGAGGCCGCTTCTTTTTACTTTACGCGCTTTTAGTTCTTTCTTTCCTTCGGTCTTCTCTTCTTCCCTCGTCCTTTGGCTAGTTCCGCCTTTCGTCTTTTGAAATGGCCCTCAAATACTCGCCTACCCTGTTCGGCTCCGTGAAGGGCACCGGACCTTCGTTGCTGATAGAGAACGAGGTGAGAGAGTTGCAGGGAAAGTATATTCTTAACGATAGCATAGATCTTTGGAAGTTTCCTAGATCAGCACGAGCGACAGAACTTCTGGGAAAAAACCTGGTCTTCTATCGAAACCAGTTCAAATATGGCCTCCGATTACCCCTGTGCCATGAGCTCTGAAGCGTCTTCAACACTTACGGGGTTATTCCAACACAAGTGATGTCGAAGTCCATAGCCGCGATCATGACTTTCTCTCTTTTCTGTTGGTATAGAACCTCTCATGGTCGATCGACCTTTTTAAATACTTTTTCTCGTTCAAGGTTGATGGTGAGAGCTATGCCATGTTTTCAGTAGTTAAGGAACTCCACCTGGTAGGAGTGGAGAACAAGATAAAGGATTGGAAGAAGAAGTTCTTGGCCGGTTCTTGGTTTGATGCTTGGGAAATCCGAATCGAATCATCGGGGTGTAAGGTATCTAAATTGAGGTCTCTCCCGGAGAGTATAATTGTTGCCCTGGAAATGTTGATTGGTCTTCGTTTCTCGGTTTCTCAATATACTGCCAAGGTAACGGTTACTCGTGTGTTGACGGGTAATATGACAAATGAGCAATGACACAACTCGGACATTGTAGAGGAGGTCCGAGCGAAGGTGGCGAACGAAAAGTTGGCCGTCAAGAGTCAGAAGCAGAAGCGTCTCTCGGAGTCAGGTAATCTTGTAGAAGATGAGGACCCGCTCCCTCAGAGCATGGCATCGAGATACCTTTTTTTTTGTCTATTCATAGCGTTGTTATTAAAGATAAGGTGACAGGTAAGGTCACTGCCATTGCTAAAAAATATGCTTCTCATTCGATGCAGGGGAAGAAGAAGAGAGAGCTTTTGTTTCCGAGGGAATCCCGGATGAGACCACTACTGTTGACCCTTCGAGAGCAGGTGTGCAGCCAGGTGCCAGTATTCAACTGGACACAAGCTACGGCTCCATCCTTTCTCTTTGTCTGAGAGGGACAGAGCCAACCAGGCCACTCCCACTGCTTCAACTAGCTCTTCATCGGGAGCGTCGACCTCGTCTTCCTCGAAGAGGACAGTGATACACCGGCGCGGGAAGGAGTCGGAGGAGGACATAGAGTTCCCATGTCCTCCTCCCTCGAAGAGGAGCAAGGAAGTTTTTGAGTGGGAGCCCATGCATAGGAGCACCGGAAAGATGTGGTTGTGGTCCGGTGAATGTTCAGCCTGTTGAATCGGACCTTAGATTGGTTTCCGCCGTAGGAAGAGAACAAAGACTTGTCCCCGGTCTTGTTGGACCTGTTGTGGTCGGGGGAGCTTGGTCGCGCCTTGGGGGATTTTAACATGAGGAATTGGCTACTCGTTAAAGGCCCTGTACTTGAGAGAGCATCTTTTTTTTCTTGTTATCCCGAAAGTTTGTTAGTGTTATATGAAAAACTCGTAATTCCTTACATAATGAAATGAGACCTTTTGTTTTTTCATGATTAATTTTACTTCTTGGCCTTGTAAAACTTCTCGTTTTATTTGGGGATTTGGCCCTTCGAGATATTTGCTCTCGGGTTGGACGATGGATTTTCGGGGGTCGACCCATCCTTAATGCTCCGAGCGTTAACCTTTGTTCCTTTCAGGTGCTCGCTACGCGTCGTCCGGTTAAGCGGGCATGGCTCCTGACCAGTCTTGCCTCCCAATGCGGATCTTGTCACTACCTGAGTGGCCGCCAAGATTTTCGAGGTGGCCTTCGTTGTCCTTTTTGCATATCTTGTCACTAGTGGACGGAGGGCTACATCTAGAGACCTCGCTGCTTGGAATTCGCACTGTTTCGCGACCGAGGGATCCTCTAGTTTTCGCTTGGTAGCAGATCGACCGTGTATTCCGGGCGATCAGCTTGTCAGTTGTAGCCGACCCCACGTAGTGGGACTAAGGCTTTGTTGTTGTTGTTGTGAGTCATGTATTGAATGGAAGGGTTTTCTGTAAATCCGGTATTGAACTTTGCTTTAGTCGAGTTAGATGCCAGAGCAGAGACGCTTCCCGCGAATGGGCAGGGTGGACTTTTGGAGGGGTGCTAAACTTATTGCCTCAGGAGGGCAATGCGTTCGTTCGACCATTGTTGTCGGTTGTGTGGGTTTCGTTATGTCTCTAGGCGCCTTCTTGCTCGGGGTTCACTCTCACTCGTTCTGGCTATCTGTGATCTCGTTAGATAGTCAGAACCCTACGAGAGTCTAAGCAAGGATTCCTTTTGCTCACGTTTGCATTCCGCTTTCCGAGCAGAGGCTTCAGGGCTGTCGGCCGTTTTAAATTTTCCTTGGGTTTTGAAAAATGAGATAATTTTGTATATATGAAAATGATTTAAATGTAAATATGTGATTTTGATTTTTGAAAGTAATATTTTAATTTTGAAAAGAGATGAGATCAAATGGGTCTCACATTTTGGATAGTTTGGATGACTGAGTGCGATACAACAAGTAATATACTTATCCTGAATAATAAATATATCACTTGTAGTAGGCTCAATCATCTAAACTAAAGAATTTGTGACATTCATTTGGTCTGTGAAATATTTTTATATGAGACCAACAAGTTCCCCTATCTAATATAAAGATCAGATAAGATTTATTTTATCTGGGTTCCAAGTTCCCTATAGAGACAAACCCCTATATTTAATTACATCTTAAATAACCGGGTTTCTCTCAAGCAGACGTGTTTGAAGAGAATGTCAGCTACTTGATTGTCTTCCTGACTGACATGCTCGATGCAAAAGCTCCTGTATCTTCCGATTTCCTTATTCATTTTGGTGAGGTATTTGGTCATATTTTGTCTCTAGCATCAAATTCTCCATTAACTTTACTCACAATCAACAAGGAATCAAACCTCATTAGGAGGTCCTGGGCGCTTATTTCATAGGCCAGGAGGAGTACGGCGATCAATGCTTCATACCCTGCTTGTTTGTGACGTTAAATTCCACTGAGATTGACTGGTAGAGGAGTTTACCGATTGGGCTGCACAAAACCAGACTCAATCCTGCCTTTAGCTGCTTAGGGTCCACGTCCTGTCATCATTGATCGTTCCTTCGTCTTATCCATCTGTCACGGAGAAGTCAACCGGGAAGTCGGCGATCGCTTGGGCTTTGATTTTCGTCTGAGGGACGTAGGTGATTTTGAATTCACTGAGCTCCACTATCCGCTTTAGCAGTCGGCCAGGGTGCTCTGGTCCGGTGATTACAACCTCAATGGATGGTCTGTAATGACACGAATTGGACGCATCTAGAAGTATGGTCGATGTTTGCGAGTGGAAACAATAAAAGGAAAATGTTAGTTTTTCCATAATTTGATATCTAGTTTATGCACCGTGAAACACTTGTCTCGTGTAGTAGACTGGGTGTTGCTTTCCTGCCTCCTCTTGGACCAGGACTAAGCTTACAACCTCTCGTCCGACTTCGAGTTAAAGGGACAGT